TGTTTAAAAGCCAACCATTCTAAGCTTCTCCTATTCTGTAACAATTAAAAATTTGTTAGAAACTCTTGTAGGATAATCACTGAATTCGTAGAACATTTGTACCAATACTTTTAGGATTCTTCTTTGTCGCTGCTCAATTTTTCTGTGCAGAGCACGGCAAGGGTCCAAAACAATTTTAGGTGAACTCATGATATATAAATTTATACTTTGTTTCGTTATTAATGCATCTCTTTGCTTATTTATTTCAAGGCATTCATTTTGAGCCTATGGTAAAATACCGTGGAAAGTTATTGAATGTGAAATTGCTAAAAAATCTTGCTAAAATATTCTTCATAATGTTTGATGGATTTATCCTGCGATGTATATTTGGTCTGTGCTAGTGTTTGAAATTCTTTTCTTGCAATCATTTCTACTAATTTCAAGCCATCAGCAACGGAGACCTCTGCATTTACAATTCTGTTTAGCACAATTACTTTGCGGTAAAAAAAATCTTTTGAACCATTATTTGTCGTTGTGGATCAGTATCCTGCTTATTATGTTCTCTCAGAGGATGCCTCGCCTTGCATATTTGGCCCAGTTGAGAAGCAAAGGTGGTCATATGCATGTACGAAGCAGTTGATTGAAAGGCTGATTTATGGTGAGTGAACTTAAATCCATTGATCTTCTTCACTTTAGTATTGCAACTTGCATTACAAGTCTCTTACTCACCTTTGTCTACAGCTGAGGGCTCTGAAAATGGTCTTGAATTTACAATTGTGAGGCCTTTCAACTGGATTGGACCCAGAATGGATTTCATACCTGGAATTGATGGTCCAAGCGAAGGCGTTCCAAGAGTTTTGGCATGCTTTAGCAATGTAAGATTATTCACACTTACAACGTATTTGGTGGGAAGGATTGGATGGTACTCTTGTCGAGAAAGAAAAACTAAAATTTTGTTCATCATTGTGTCTAATAGTGCATATATCAGACACGAACTTAAAGATTTGAAAAACATGTTCATTTATTTGGATATCTTATATTTGTCTTTTCTCCTGTTATGTTCAGAATCTGCTAAGGCACGAACCACTCAAGCTTGTGGATGGTGGCAAGTCGCAAAGAACCTTTGTTTATATCAAGGATGCCACTGAAGCTGTTCTCTTGATGATTGTATGTTAATTTTTCCATAATATTTTTGTTTGATGTTAATCTGCTTTGTCTTAGTAGCTAAGTGGTGTAATTTACACAGGAAAATCCAGTCAGGGCTAATGGTCATATTTTCAATGTGGGCAACCCTAATAATGAAGTTACAGTCAGGCAGCTTGCTGATATGATGACCCGGGTAATTAGAACATTTAGAGCATGCAAGCTTAAAAAATATGCTTATAAGTAAATAAGTAAGGTTTTTACTTAGAAAAAAATAAGTTATCCAAACGTATCTTCGAAGTTTGAACTGTTACTCACTCTTCATGTCATTTTTTTCCTCTTGTATCTTCTATATGGCAACTGAGTTTCCTCAAAACATAAAAATTACCTCGAAGGCTCGAATACTTGCAGGTTTATGCAAAGGTTAGCGGAGAACCTCCAATAGACTCGCCCACGATAGATGTAAGCTCCAAAGAATTTTATGGTGAAGGATATGATGACAGTGACAAGAGAATTCCGGACATGACCATAATTAACAAACAGCTTGGTAATGAACATCTCTCTGCAAAATGGGTAGTTATTAAGACTTTTTGAAGTGTTGCAAAATATATTTACAGAAAATTTTGACTGTGTGATTGTTGTTAGGATGGAATCCGAAAACATCCCTTTCAGATCTGCTCGAATCCACACTTACTTACCAACACACAACGTACGCCGAAGCTATCAAGAAGGCCATTTCTAAGCCAGTTGCTAGTTAAAAATATGCTTTCAATTCTTAGATCTTGTTATATTCTGTATTTGCCATATCATTAGTCTACGTACATAGTTCACAGTTGTAACCATCTTGTATGTCTAATATCTTCAAGAAAGTACCCCCCGCCCCCCGCCCCCCCCATCTCCATCCCTAACCCTACCCCTACCCCTACCCCTACCCCTACCCCTATAGTTGCTTCAAAAAAACTTGCTGTAATATGCCCCTCTAGGCTTGTAGCTAACAAAGACAGTATCCTAAAGGGTTTCCATTTAAGGAAAACAAATATTGATCCTTTGGGATTTTGATTGGTAATATATGGAATTTTTTTCTTAGTTATTCAATATTCTCAGTTTGCCTGCAAGAATTAATAAAATTGTTAAAATACTTTTACGCATATGCCTTTGGGGCATGTTGCAGACACCTAAGCAAAATGTCATATAAAGTTAGCACTTAATGTATCTTCTCCTCTTCTACATGCCTCTTCCAAGACGATTAGGCTATACTTTTAGACGCATCGACTTGAATATTATTGTTATCTGAGGCATTTGCTACAAGAGTTGCTTCTTCCAAGTGGCATAAAATACATTGCACAAAGTGATTGGTGTGATGTTTTGCATCAGTTATGCTCATTCATTAGACTATGAATACTACATGCGTAAGATGGTTATGCATTGACACGACTGAGCATGATAAGTGAGCTGTTAGAATGAGATCATGTGTCAAGCATTTTGAGGGAACCTCTTCTACTTGATTCCCCCCACATTTATAATTGGTCCGTTCTCATGAACGGAGTAAGTTTTTCCAAGTATTGGAAAAATTCAGAACTCGTATATTTGTTTGTTGTGTCTCATACTCTTAATATTTTTCATCGTTTGCACCACATTAGAGCTTCGATCCATGCAATTTAATGTGATTATCCAAGTGTGCAGGTAAAACACTCGTGGATGAGAGCATATGGGAGATTTGTTGACAGTTGGATCTCGTTGATTTTTGAGGTCAACAAATACATTATTAAAAATAAAAACTTGTCTGTTATATTGTTGACTATAAAGTATGGTATACTAGACGTACACTAGCCAAATCATTTCAATTGTGTGTTATATTGTTGACTATAGAGTATAGTATACAAGATTTACACTAGCCAAATCATTTCACTCAGCTTAAGCAACTATTAAAATTTGTAAACATTTCACTGAACTCACGAACTGTGTCATGTTTAATATCTTTGTGATTCCATTTCTAGCTACGTGTATCCAAAAGAATAGGTAAATTAGAAGGCTAGGTGACTCAATCGAGGTCGAGGGTAATATACATGATGTCGGACCTAGTACTCTGAACACTGTTTACGTAACACTGTCTAGTTGTAGTTCGGTTTGCACACACACGAACCAATTTCCTTTGTGGTCGTATACTTCTTCACCAGATAATTTGTGACACAATAGCCTGTGCTTGATGAGAGTGGTCGTCCAAGGATTGATTTGTAGGTTATCAAGGTTTCCACAACTCGAAAGAAAAAATCATTCTGATTTGCAGTGGTCTGTACCGGATGTGACAAAGCTCGATGGTACCTTCTGGATTAATCGGACCTCCTGCAAAACCTTAGAGCGAAGTTCTTGCTGACCACAGACTTGGTACAATTCTTTTTAGCGAAGACGTCATATGACAATACATTGGCTGCACTACCATTGAAA